TATATATATATATATATATATGCATAGTCTCCAAAAAATCTGGAAACGATAAAATATCTCAAAAACAAAGCATTTTTCAAAAAAATATTTCAGACAAAAGTTGACGGATTTAAAAAGATCTATTAAAGAACTAATCTTTATTTGATCCTGGGTGGTATTGCCAAGATCAGGTAAGTCAATTTTAATAAAAAAATTGACTACTCCCTAAAATAATTACTCCCATTTTTTGTTGCATTCTTATAGCATATTTCGAGAGCTTTGCAAAACATTACAATAACATTATTTTTCATTAAGTACTTTTTTAGTTGAGGCTTAAAAGTTACAATACCGCCAACATTAGCATTATTTAAGGTGTTTAATTGATGATTAGAACCTTTTAAAAGTTGTTCAGAGTCATGATCTTAATGTACGATGTCAAAATCATGACCTTGAACAGCATTTAAAAAATTTTAACCATCAGTCAAATTATTATAGTTAGACATCTTAGATAATGGTAATGCCGCAGTACTGTAACTTTCAAGTTTTATAATTCAAAAAGTAATTTAAAAAACAACTTTATTGTAATATTTTGATAAGCTCGAGATATGTTACAAAATATGCAACAAAAAATGAGGGATTTTTATTTTAAAAAATCAGCAATCATAATTTTGACCTAATCTTGGCGACGCCATCCAGAGTCAAACAGATGCAATTAGTAAATAGATCTTTTTAAACCCTATAACTTTTGTTTGAAACATTTTTCTGAAAAATGCTTCATTTTCGATATATTTTAGCGTTTCTGGATTTTTTGAAGATCCTGTATAATCTATAATATGTGCAGGGTGTTCAGCATAACATTCCACACGATTTTTTAGATACTGCGCACAATTAAAATGCTTTAGTGACTAAATTGGTTAACCATATTGACTTTACAGTCGTATAAAAATCTCCGAATTGATCAAATAAAATTAGAAATTTGTTTACAGGATTAAAGTAGACGCAAAATTAGAAGATGGTGCAGTAGACTTTATATACCGAAAAAAGTTAAAAACTTACTTAATTTTTTTTTCGATTTTAGTATGAAGTCGACTATATTACCTCCTAATTTTGCATCTACTTTAATCCTGTAAAAGGATTCTTTATTTTGTCAATTCGAAAACTTTTATACGACTGTAACGTCAATAATTTAAGTCACTCCAGCATCACTTTAAAAAGAAAGGTTAAATGTGAATATTGTACATCAGTTTCATGAGGTCTACAACGTGCGATAAAAAAATTAAAAAATTTTTTTTTAATAAAAGAAGTCAAAGTTATTTTAAATATTTTAAGTAGCATCATACAATTTTTTCTATTATATTGTTGGGATCTTCAAGACAAATTTAATGCACTGCCGATAACGTTACTTTTATTGATTTTATACATATAAACACGTAATATGTATCATAAATATCATTAATAAAGAAAGACTATGTAAACAAATTTTATTGATTTCTAATTTATGTAAGCAAATATTCAAATTACTTGCCTTCTTCTTTTTTTAACAAATTACTATGCATAGCAGCTATTACTATTTTGATCCAAAGTTACTTGTAATCATTCTTCCTCAAAGATCTTGAATATTATTTGATATACAAAAAATTTTAAATGATCCTACAAGGAAAACATTCATCGGAGATAAATCTGGAAATGCGTCGGCCATTGGATTGGTCCGGATGTACTTATATCTGATTTTTAAAAATATCCTGAAAATATTTAATTTTTAACTATTTGTGCTTATGGATAAAATAGCAATAAAATTAAAAATCAATAAAATTTGTACATATAGTCTCTTTTTATTAATGGATATTTGTGATATATATTATATGTTTATGTAACATATACATATATAAAATCAATAAAACATCAATAGAGGTGATTTTCGATAGTACGTTGAATTCGTCTTGAAAACCGTTACAATATTGAGAAAAAAAATTGTATAACGCTATTTAAAAAATTCAAGATGATCTTGATTTTTTATTGAAAAAAACTCAAATTTTTTCATCGCATGTTTTAGCCCGCATAAAACAGATGAACATTCACTTTTCAACTTTTCTGGATAACTGTTGATAAAAGTATCTAAAATCTAAAAAATAGTGCGGACCATTACGCTGTGAACATTCAGTATATAATATATTCTAAATTTTATATAGAAAGAGAACTGTTAATTATATAAATTAAGATATATTATCATTTTTTAAAAAAGCCATTTACAAAAAACAAAAATACTTTATAAAAAAATAAAATAATTAAAATAAATTTCATATAGTTATCAAATATATGTATATACAATATTTAAATGGTAGTTCAAAATTTAATAAAATAAAAATTATACCAATCGTAAAAAAGTATCATGTTTTATTTCATTAATATGAATTTTAAGTAAAACTTCTGAATTATATTTTCAAAATTAGGAAGAAATAAACGCATATATAAGAAAAACACTCTTGCTTTTATCTATTACGTGCATTTACCTGTTAATGAATTTTGTGACCTGCGAATTTCTGCCGGAATTGAAAGAATGACAATGTCGATCACCACTGCTGTCCCTCTGTACCAGACAAGATTTCGGCTTCGACGAGCCACCACAACTATACATGCACAGAACAACCACGTAATCTTATACTAATCGGCTACTTATACAAGCACCTGTGCGATGTTTCTACTACGCTACTTCATAAAAATTTGTTGCTTCCAGAACATTTGATATATGTACATACATATCATAAAATACCAGTAGTGCAATTAAAGCCAAATTTTCGTGATAAAAGAGAAAATGACGTTTTAAGTATGCCTATAATAATGGGAAATTAAATTACGAAAATAATCTTTTTGTTTATATTCATAACCATTATTATATAATATATTTATACGTATAATATGTATTATAACATATATAT